TTCTACTTTCCTTTTCTTGGTAATTTCAACTCCATTGCACTTCAACTAATATAGGTGCTCCCGGGTGCATCTGTAAGCATGTGTGGGTCCAACAAAGGGTGGATTGACTGGGTGACACTTTATCTGATGTTTAATGTACATATTTATATAGTTAAGAGTCAATAGCATGTATCATTTAATGAAAATATTTATTTTGGTCAAAAATATCTCTTAGGACCCTGCTTCTCCATGGTATGCCAAATTCTCTCTGAAATTTTGTAAATAAAAATCATGCGTTCCATTGTTTCATGATGATTCTATCATGGATTGAGATTTTAAAATTCTTTTACCACTGCATAAATATGCACACTTACATCTCAACTTGGACAAATAATTTTATTTCAATTTCTTTGCTTTTGATTTTTCAAAGAAAAACTTTTTTCACATAGATTTCTAGGCACGAAGTTCTGGAGTGTGGATCTATTCCTGCTGAAAAAGACAAGTATTTCTAGATTTTAATTGTTTAATTTTATTCACTTTTCTCTCAAATATAACATGGTAGAAATGATTGGGTCTAGAATAATTTTTAAAATATTTATTGAACATTTATTACATCATATATTTCTGCCAATTTATTTCTGTATTCATAGGGTGCAACGTCATGATTTCAACTATTTCAGTGAGAGTGACTGCTCCCTCATTGACTTCCTTTCCATATGTGATTCATCCTCGACTAAACGCCAGCGTTATTTTGCACAGGTACTGAGGATAACCCCCTGGGCATCCATCACAGGGTACAGCCCTGCAGGTTGAAGCCCCTGAGACACTTTATGCAGCAGACACCAATTCCCAGACTTTGCTATTCTGTGTGTGTGCTCGTTTTGCCCTTCTGACCCATGAAATGGAGAAAAAAGGAGAGCAGAATTGATGAGTCCTGATCAGGTTCCACCCCTTTTTCATGCGTGAAGCTGACTAATGCCTCTGTGTTGAATCCAGCTGTCCCTTTCTGGTTCATTCTTTGCTCTGACCTTAAACTACGTAAATTTCAAATTCTGAAGAAACTGTCAGGTTCCCCAATTTACTATAGCAGTGTATCAACAATTAGGATATATGAAACTTTGATTTGCTCTACATCTTTGTCAATATTTGTTATAGAAAGCTTTTTCTTAATTTTTTAACAAAAATAGGAGGTAATGTCTCGTTGTGATTTTAATTTTTAATTATCTGATAACTAATTATGATACCTTCCCATATACTTGGTATTGCTCTGTCATCTTTTATAATGTTTCTAAGCTTTTCTCATTTATAAGTGAGTTGCTTTTTTCTTAGTTGATTTTCTTACACTTTACATCTGTTATAAGTAAAACTAGTATTTTTAGATTTTCTTATAGAAGCTTTACTGTTTTGAGATACAAAATAGAAGTGTGCTAGCTATCAATGGGATGCCTTCAGATCCTCTAACACCAAGACGTCCACACATAGAAAATATATTTTCACAAGGGAACGGAATGTTGGACAGTCCACAAAGTTATAGCAATCTTTTTCAAATGTCCATTTGTTCCCTAGGATTTACACTGCAAATGCTTTTTTTTTTCTTTTGTGGTATAAGATTTGAACCCGGGGCTGTTGCACTGAGCTACATCTGAGCTGGCTCAGATTTTGACAGAAATTCACTAAATCACTAAGTCTCCCAGGCTGGGCACACACTGGTGTTCTTCCTGCCTCAGCCTGGCAAAGTTCTGGGATTGCAGATGTGTACATGGTGAGATTTAAAGCATACTTTAACATTTTTTGAACAATTATCTGGATATTCTGCTATTATTGTTTTGAGAGGATTCTTCATTTTCTAATATTTCTAAAATAAATATGGGATAATTTTTGATAGCCTCTTTATCTTAGTGGGCAACATAATGCTTAGGGTATACCATACATTGGTAAATATTAATTTAATAAATTGAAAAATTGTTTTTAAACCAGATTTCTAAAAATAATTCCTCCAAATGCATTCTCCATGCTAATCTAAAAATGGAGACTATCATGAAATTTCTATAACAACAAACAAATAGTAAAGAATTATTTATTCAAGTCCACATACGAAGTTAGTTTAACTTCTCAATTCAGGCAAGAGAGGTTGTTGTGCTCTTGGTATCACAGCTGCATGGCTTTCCTGTCTTCCTGAGTGATGCTCATTCAGGTCCAAAGTATCTTTCTGAATGCTTCGATGTTTGGATTTTGGGATTGACATATTTAGGTAAAAAGGTCAACTTTAATGCATGCTTCATGGGACTCATCTTTTTACGCTCCTTTTCACTCACTTTCTAACTTTTTAGGGTTGATTCCCTTTAAAGCTGTCACTATTCACTATTTTACTTCTGAGAGTAGACATCATGGCACTGTGGAGACATTGGCATTGTTCATGATACAACTCGGTGTTTTCTGTGTATCGAAGGGAAACCAACGTGCTCCACCATAGCTGTGGGAAACATGCTCAGCCCCAGCACCATCAGAAACCAACAAAGCATCGGCCTCACTTCCAACTCAAGGAGATGAGCTGCTATGGCTTTCAGTTTGGGGCAACATTTGTCTCTGATTGTTGCAAAAGTTTGTCTCTTCGCTCTGTTGTTGTTAGTTTTGCTGTGCCGAAGGGTTTTACTTTGATATAATCCCATTTGCTGACTCTTTTCATTATTTCCTCTGGGGGTGGAGTTCTGTTCAGAAAGCCCATGCGTACACCTATGACTTCAAGAATTTACCTCCATTAACTTCCACTTGCTTAAGTGTTTCTGCTGGAACATTCAGATCTTTGACCCACTTTGATTTTAGCTTAGTTCATGGTGAGAGGTTTGAATCAAGATTCAGTCTCGGCATGTGGATAGCCAATTTTCTAGTACCATTTATCAAAGAGTCTATCTTCCCTCCAGCTAATGTTTTGGCCCTTTTGCCAAAGGTCGGGTGGCTGAATGTGGCTGGGGTTGTTTCTACATGATCTGTTCTGTCCCATTGATCCACACGTGTATTCTTTTGTACCAGTGCCATGTTGTTTTGATCACTGTAGCTTTGTAATATGACTCTATTTGTGAGATTGTGATGCTCCCTACTTTACTCCTGTTACCAGGATTGCTTTTGCTATTCTGGGTCTCTTCTAGTTCCACATGAATTTTAGGATTTTTTTTTTTCAAGTTCTGTGAGGAATGCTCTTGGTATTTTGACTGCGATTACGTTAAATCTTTTGTACAATTCTAAGTAAGTTCCTAAATCATGTTAAGGTTTTAATTCGAAAGAGAATATTGAACTAAATTGATTGAGTTTGATAATGGAGTAAGCAGCTGAGATGCTACTTTGCTATTTTTTTACTTTAACATTTTCACTTTCTCCACCTTTATTGAGATGTAATTGACAAATAAAATTGTATATATTTATAGTATCAGTGTGATATTTGATATAGTTATATATCATGAAATGCTTACCACAATCAAGTTAATTAATATTTGTATCAATTCATATCATCACCGTCAGTGTGTGGTGAGAATACTCAAGACCTACTATTTTAGCAAATTTTAAGTATTCAATGCAGTATCCTTAACTACGATGACCAATCTATGCACTAGATCTCGAGAATTTATTCTTCTTGCAACTGAAAGTTTGTACTCTTTGACCAACATCTCTCCATTTTCTCCATCCTTGGCCCCTGGCCACTATCATGGCACCATCCAGGAACTCAGCAGTTTAAGATTCCACAGAGAGTTTCGGGGCTCATTCTTTAAACTAGGCAGCACTGTTAAGTTTTTATTTTGGGGTACATGTAACAGAACTCAGGTCCTTGCACTTGCGAGGCAGGTGATGGAACCACTGAGCTGAATCCCTGGCCCAGCACTATTAATATTTTAATGTCACTTGTCTTTAGGCGTACTAAATAAGGTCATTTAATAAATGCTTTATATATTTATGTTTCTTATAATATTTCACAGGATGGCTTGACTTTCTGCTGGCCTGTGAGTAGGACCTCACTTGCCCCAGAAACTCGGGTAGAGCCGTCTGTGAGAAATTTTAATTTAGCTTCCCACAAGCAGAATGACCAATGAATGCAGTCAGACAATGAGAGTCAATGGAGAGTGCTCAATCAATAGTGATCAAAATTGAGAAAGGTCAGCCCAACAGAAAACAAGCAACACAGACATCTAACAACTGTATTCTCCTAAACTGGAACATGTGTTGGGTATCACTGTAAAGCCAAAGTAATTGTGCTTCCTTCAGAAAAATAAGAAAATGTGTCAGTAGAAAGTGGCCAGCCAGTGATTCAGTAGGTCCACCCACTGTGGGAAAATCAAAGCCTCAGATCTTTTATGATTGAGAGTAAAACAGTTATCAGAGTGGGTCTATTCACTGATGTCAAACAAATGGATTGCATGAGACAAATTCAGGTCCCAGAGGGACACACGATTACAGAATCACACCATGTGTTCAAACAATAGCCTCGTACGTGGGGCCCTGATGAGGGAGAATGAGGATCCCAGGTTTGGGAAAGATGCATTTCAGAATATTTATATGATTACTTCTAATTGTCACCTATCAGGTAAACAGCTCACATCACCTACAGTTCCAAAATATACCACTGAAAAGCCTGAAACCAAAGAAAAGGGGTTATATGGAAACAACACGCAGAGAGACAGAAACTCAGGACTGGAAATTTTGTTCAAATGTGTGAGGAAAACACAAGAGCCCCTCGCATTTCCCTCTGCCTCTACCACTGACCCTATCCCCACTCAGCATGGCTGCTCTCCTTGCCCGCCTTCTTCAGTCTACACTCTACCCGAAAATTGATTTAGTAGGCATTTTAACAATCGGCCTATCAAGGAAGACAGAGACAACCACTTTTTAAAAAGTTAACCAAATTGGAATCATTAAAATATTTGGAATTTAGAAAACCATGTATGAATACATATTGATGAACTTGCACTTCTTACTTGCTCTGGATAAAGAGACTGAACATTGTTACCCATAACCTATCTAATTCATAGGAATTACATTGTGTGTAAGCACTGAGAAAAGAGATTGCATACATTCTTCCATGTCCTTTCTAGGGCACATTTCACATCTTCGTTCCTCAAGCTGTAGATCAAGGGATTCAACATGGGGATGACCAGGGTGTAAAATATGGAAGCCACTTTGTCAGAGTCAAAGGAATGACTGGACTTGGGCTGCACGTACATAAATATCAGCGTCCCGTAGAACACAGTGACCACGGTCAGGTGGGACCCGCAGGTGGACAACGCTCTGTGCCTGCCCTCTGCAGACTTCATCCTGAAAATGGCTATGAGGATGAGCAGGTAAGAAAAAAGGAGTATGGCGAGAGAGGAAACCAAATTAAAACCTGCTGAGATCAAAATGATCATCTCAATTTCATATGTACTTGAGCACAGCAAAGATAACAAGGGGAGACTGTCACAGAAGTGACTGATGATCTTGCGACTGCAAAATGATAAAGTGAAAATTTTTATGGTGATTAGAAGAGAAACAAGTATACTGTAAAGGTAAGGAATTGCCACCAGCATCTGGCACACTTTTTGGGACATGACGACAGTGTAGAGCAGAGGCCTACAGATGGCCACATAGCGGTCATAGGACATAGCAGACAGAACAAAAAGTTCACAAATGATGAACACAAGAAAGAAAGCGAGTTGTGTGGCACAGCAATAGTACGAGATTGTATTTTCATCCACCACAAAATTCACCAGCATTTTGGGCCCCACGGCTGTGGAATAGCCAAGATCAGTGAGAGCCAGGTGTCTGAGGAAAAAGTACATGGGCGTTTGGAGCCTGGGGTCCACCTGGGTGAGGATGATCATGCCCAGGTTGCCCAGCAGTGAGCTCAGGTAGATGGTGAGGAACAGGAAGAACAGTGGAGCCTGCAGCTCAGGGCGAGCTGTGATGCCCAGCAGGATGAAGTCATTCGTCATGGTGAGATTGTGTTTTCCCATCTAGATTTATCACAAAGCTTACCTGGGATAGAGACATCGTCACATGTAATAGCTTTCCTGTATTATCTTTCACCTGAGAGGCTGCTATGCCTGCCAAGCTAGGGTACATAAGATACTCTCAAATTTCTCAACTTATTTTATTTCAATATGAACTCAACTTACAAATATTAATATGTATAGATTCATTAGCAGAGCAGGGCAAATTACTGGCTCTAGCTTGGGTTTGATTTTACTCACTGTGGATCATTGCCGGTGCCTGGGATGTCTTTTCAGTCATAGATGAGAGGTGGGCTGCTGTTGGCACTTAATGAGTAGAGCCCAGGATACTGGCCCAAAATACTACACTAGAGGCCATATCCAGCCCAAATATCTGTATTGCTCAGAAATACTAGTAATTCAGATAGATTGATAGATAGACAAATAAAAAAATTTAAAAAGTTGAAACAATGTTAAAATTTTGAGGGTTTCCTATATGGATTATAATTGTGCTATTCTTTGGAGTTTTCCAACTATAGAAGTGCAATTTCATAATAATATGTATAAATTACTAAAATAATGGATATAATAACTCCATGATGTAAGTAATTACAAAAGAATATAGAATTTCCTCAGGCAAAACAGAAACCTATGGAGGCCTTTATGCCAATGAATTGTGACAGTTGAGTATGTGATAGCTACCTTAATAAGCAAACAGAACTCTGTGGGCATTGCTCACATTTCTATGACCAAACCTATCAGAATATATACGTGAGTGGTCATCATCAGAACTCGATCTCGATTTATAATATCTAAAAAGGGATGTCTGGGTGCATAATGTACATTATTTAAACTCTTTGTTCTCAGACACATAATGAATATGTCCTTGCAGGTTATTTGGTAGGCAAGGCTGAGGATTAAATGATTCATGCAATCCATCTTCTATCTATCTATCTATCTATCTATCTATCTATCTATCTTTCTATCTATCTAACAAATATTTCTCACAACTTCAAAAGTCATTAGCCCAATGTATTTCAATGTGATAAAGAGGGCAGGAGAGAAGGAAAGGCACATGATGATTATTACATGATAATGGTTATTATGATAAATCCAAGTTACCTATAAGCAAAAAGAAAAACACAATTTTACCACATTAAATGTGGAGTAGATTACATGTAAATAGCATGTAAATTAATATAAATACCCACTTCAATGCATACACCTTTCCTTATTTGGAAATATGACCAGGTACATCACATTTTTAGAGAATAATTTGCAATAAATACAGTAAGGTATAATATCAATTTAATTTTAGTGGTTTTTGTTTTGTTATATTTTATTTTATAGACATGAAAATTTAAGACACTAAATTGTGCATGATAAATGCAATTTTTAAAGAAAGAAAGATGAAAGTGTTTTACCAGTTTTGAAGTTTGATATGAAGAAACAAATTATTTTTTTCATAGATTGAGTTGATGACTGATTGATATTACCTTTCAAGTTGTACTTGAAAAAATCATGTCTAATTTTTATATACTTGATGAAAATTAAAGAATATTTTGAATATTGTACCAATAATGTAAAACTGAGCATTTCAAAGTCTCTACCAAATAATTCTGTGCACACCTGAAAGTGAGATATACTCTGATTTTACTCTTCAAGATGTGAGATGGAATCAGATTTATAAATCTATTTAATAATCATTACATTTTATGTTAAATCTTTTTTTTGTTAAACCCTTTTTTAAAAGATCTCAAAACCCTACAGCAAGTAAATAACTGTTCATTTGGAAACACATCAGAATGAGAGACAAAATCCCTGTACTTTTATTGTTCTGCCAGTGGACAAAGTATTTGAAAAATAAACATGTTCTTTCAGTTGGATTTCACTTAGCCTCAGGTTTGGCCTTTTTTTTTTTTTTTAGTTTTGGCCTTTTTTAGAAATAAAATTATATATAAAATTTAGAGAATTTGAAGTAATATTGTGATGACTTCAAAGATGTTAATGTGTGTTTAGTTTCTCAATCCACATGATAAGATTAAGAGGTGAATATAAGAAAATAAGAGAAGACTTATTTTTGTTCCACTGTTATTCAATGGCAGAAAGTAAAGAGAATACAATAAAAACATTCTCATATTTTGCTATGGTTTTGCCATGAAATTAAAGTGGAAATGTGCAAACATCACTGAACAATGATGTGCACTTCTCATTTATGTGATCACACGAAATGTTCCGCTGTTTACCTGTAATGAAGTCTCTATCTTGGCTCTGATGTGCAGTTTTCACATGGCATAGTGAGAAAAATTTGTGGAGTTTTAAAAACATCTTTTGAGACTTGCAATTCCCTGAGGAAAAGATGAGCAATTTGTTCATTATCCCTAAAGTATTTGAAAGTTTAACAAAATGCGGAAAGGTTGTTCACTAATTGTCAGGGGCAATGTTATTCCCAGGTGGGTGGAATGACCAAGGATGAGAGAGAGGTCCAATGAGGGAAATGCTCATATGATTGTGCAGGTGGAGAAACATTGTTTGATCTAATGGGAACTTCACATCATCATAAAGTAAAGTACAGAAACACAAAAAGGGAGAACAAACAATAAGAAAACTCTACACTTGCACTCTATAACTTTCAGTATTCTGAATTTTTGATCTTTAATTTGTCTTTCTACCTTGCTTATCTCTTAATATATCAATGTATTTATTAATAATTTGGTTAGTTTCTTGGGTATTCATGTGAAAGATGGGAGTGGTTAACACATGGTTAAAATGTTAGAACATTCTGAACTCGTCAAAATAGTTTTTTCTCCAGTGAGTGTATGTGTCACTTTTTCATCCTGTGACCAAATACTTGACAGAAACAACTTAAATGAGGAAATATTTATTTTGGCTCATGTCTTCAGAAGTGTCAGTGCACGGTTGGCGGGTTCTGACCACCACGGCAGAAGAGCACGGTAGAGGAAAGCTACTAACTTCATGGCTGTTTGTTATATCCTTCCTATTCCCAGATATTTCTCTAGGCTAGGGAAATTTTGTTATCTTTTCAATAACCTTTCCATCCTTTTGGTATTCTCTAGCTCTCTTGAACCTCCATCACCCATACATTGCTTTTTCAAAATGTTGTCTCAGATGTTCCATAAGCTTTATTCATTTCTGTTCACTGTTTGGTCTTTTTTCTACTCCAACTATGTATTTCCAAGTAGTGTACATTTGAGCTCATAAATTCTTCCTTCAGTTTTATATGTCTTGGTCTCGATGCCTCCTTTCAGGTGTTAATTCTGCTTTATGTATTTTTCAACTTGAGGGTTTCCTAAAGATTCCCTTCCTGATTCCTTCTGTCTGCTCTTTCTCCATTCAAGTGTTGAGTGCTTTCTCTTGAACCTTACTCCATACACTTAAAGCAGCTGCTAGAAATTATGTGTCTGAGAATTTGCTCATACTGGTTCTTACTGGCTTCAGCTGGTTCACACAGTTTTCGACTCCAATTCTTTTCTATTAGTTGAGGTCTTGGTTTCCTCAAGACTCGTGCATCATCTCGTTCAAAACAAAATGAACCTTCTCTCTAGGATGCAGGAGACCCTGGCTGAACTAAGAACTGAATACATAAATACATCAACAGGCCCAAAATAAAACCGAAACAAAACATTTTCTTTTTCCAAGTTGATTATCTTTGGCACTTGTTAATGTGGTGGGAGCATTTGTGAAGTGATAATATTGAACAAGGTTGGAGGAAATAGGTAGATGATTTTAGGCAGGTCAGTTTTACCAGATGTGGCAGAAGGCACAAGAATCCAACGCTCAAAAACATTTAGGTCTTAATTCCCAGACCCCATGAACAGGTTTCCTTGTTCGAACAAAGCAATTTGCTTATGCGCTTCTGCTAGGGATCCGGAGACTCTCATGGGTTATCTACAGTGGTCAATGGGAAGCACAAAGGAAAGAAGGAAGACAAAGGATAAAAGGCAGCAGAAGGAGAGGTCAGAGTGATGGAATTTCGCGCTAGAAGTTGAGCACAAGACAAAGGCTCTGGGCAAACTAGAAGCTGGGAGAAAAGCAGAGAGGAATCTCTGCCTCGAGCCTGGCAAAGGGTCGCCCTTGCCGACACCCAACACAGCCATGAACGACTAAAGGCTGAGGCTATCAAACTGCTGTTGGTGTAGTCGCTCCAGACCAGGGACACCCCTCAGTGTGCGACTGTGCTACTTATTTAAGAGCCAAGTTAAAGGTTGACTCCTTGCTTCCAGTGTCATGGTCTCTGTATTTGGTTTATTTCTAATCTTCCTGAAACATCATGCATCGGTCTCCTCCCCAGGCGCTGCCTTTCCCGCCCACATCGGTCTGTCCCATGCTGTTAGCATTTCACACGCACAGACATTTTGGAAATGATACTTTGTTTGGTTTAATAGCACTTCACTCGAAATCACACTAAACATTTTAACTAAAAGAAGTGATGGCGAATGTTACGAGTTATAGCACAGATAATGAAGTCTGTACAATTCCGTGAGAGGTGGAAATACAGGATATGGAGGAGTATCAACAATTTTCTCTGTGTCCATGCATCGGGGAGAGACAGGGGAAAGGAGAACTCGAACTCACCTGCCTGTTTTCTGCATGTCGTATTTCCATGAGAAATGAATACATTTTGATCATTATTTATCTTCTGTTAAAATTATTTTTTCTGTGATATATACTTTTTTAAGAACAAAATAAATGAGCCTGTGAAAGTTGAGCATTTAATGGACAAAATGCTTCATAAATAAAAGCGTTATCTTTAATACTGGAACCAAAGATGCCTTTTGTAAGAGGGGTGGTAGTCAGCGTCTCAGCCCTTTCTGTAGATGAACCTCACCCAACTCCACCACCCGGTACTGGGCCTTTTCTCCCTTTTTGCTTAGCGGTGATAAGAACCTCTAGTGTCTTATATTTTACTTCTAAAATGTGTTTCTTTCAAAATTACTCTTTGCAATTTACATGTGTTATTACAGGAGATAAGATTGATAAGAATTAATTAAAATGCCTGTACTGAAACTAATGGAATTTCACCACGAATTGCCGCTTTTGTAAAGAGCAGTGTTATGTTTTTTAGGATGGAATGGAAACCCTCACAGGAAGCGTGCTGTTGTTTTAAATTGGCATTAGTTTGAGCGATCGCCATGGGTTCCCAAGGAATTTCCACAGCGCATCCTTCACATCCTTGTTCCTCAGGCTGTAAATGGCAGGGTTCAGCATTGGTATCACCAGGGTGTAGAAGATGGAAGCCATCTTGTCTGTGTCCAAGGAGCGGTTGGTCCTGGGTTGCAAATACATGAAGAGGAGGGTCCCGTAGAACATGGTGACAGCAGTCATGTGGGAGGCACACGTGGAAAAGGCTTTCTGTCGCCCCTCTGAGGGACGTATTCTCAAAATGGCAAGGACAATGTTGAAGTAGGATATTAGAACAATAATCATGGAGAAAAACAAGTTTGTCCCGGAGAAGATGAACACCACTGTCTCTGGAATGTAGGTATCAGAACAGGACAATGCTAGCAAAGGGACATTGTCACAGTAAAAATGGTTGATTAAGTTGGCAGAACAGTAAGACATGGAGAACACGCAAGGTGTAACTACGAGAGCGGTGAGAAGGCCATGGAGGTAGGTGAGGGACACCAGCAGCAGGCAGACCCGCCGAGACACCACCACCATGTAGAGCAGGGGGCTGCAGATGGCCACGTAGCGGTCGTAGGCCATGGTGGCCAGCATGAAGATCTCAGCCACAATGAAAACCAGGAACCCCGCCAGCTGGGTGGCACAGGCATAGTAGGAGATGGCTTTCTTCTGTGCTAAGAAGTTGCTCAGCATTTTCGGGGCGATGACAGTGGAGGTGCCCAAGTTGATGAGAGCCAGATGTCGGAGGAAGAAATACATGGGGGTCTGCAGTCGGGGGTCCACACTGGTGAGGGTGATGACGCCCAGGTTCCCCGCCACGGTCAGCACATAGATGCCCAGGAAGACGAGGAAGAGGGGCACCTGCAGCTCAGGACGGTCGGAGACCCCTGTGAGGATGAACTCGTGCAACTGGGTGTGATTCCCAGATGCCATTTATTTTGATGTGTTCATCTTTTAATGGTAAAAATGGAAAGATAGACATAGGCAATATGATTATTTGTGGTTGGATGCCATATGTTAAGTGTCTCATTCAATGTCAGCCTAGTTTGGTTGACTAACAGTTAAAATTTCCAATCTTATTTGTTTTTCTCCCCATCTTTTCACAGACCACAGATGTAAAAACTCACTAGACACAATTGAGTTTCTTAGAACCGTTTGGATAGCTTATTTATTCACTGTTGGATACAGTTCATATTAATGAATCAATATTTATTTCAGTATAGTATGTACTAATGTTATCACGCAGATATTAAATAGAAATGTGATATTTAAATGTGTGCACACTAGACAGGCATACACACAAGTGTCTGTGTTTCCAGTGGTAAAAGAGAGCGTGGTTCCGGGATTCAGCAGTCAGCGTGACTTCCTGTTGTCCTGGTCTGGTTCCCACAGAAGTCTTCTTCAGGCCGTGCCTGCCACCTACCATCCTGGGGAATTTCAGCGTCTCTCCAGGAAGCAGTTTCCGCACCTGGCCTTTTCCTTACTGATTTCCCCCATATCATTCTGCTTCCTTCGCCCAGTGCTGGGCCTGCACTTCCACATTCATATTCGTGGTGACTTTCTGGACTCTGAGTCCTCTCCCATGGTCACATTTCATTTCTTCTGCCAAAATAAGCTGCTCTCCTCATGTAATCTTGACCTCTCTTTGCAACAAATTCTTCTATCTTTATTCCAATAGTTTCTTATGCCCGCTCCTTCCCAATGAATCCCCTTTTCCTTCATTCATTGGAAAATGGTTTTACTTTTCAATTATTTTCTTGCAATATTCATTTGTTAAAATCGGATAGCTTGATTTATTGTACAGAACAGTTAGTGCAGGAGAGTTCCCGTACTTACGTAGCACACCATCTGTGCCAGTGTGCTAAGAATTTTTGAATGATTATCTCATTATTCTGTGGAATGGCTCTACAGTGTGTGTCTGATGCAACAATTGAGACTCAATGAGAAAAGGTGACCTGAAAATTTGCATAAAACCATAGTTAATGACATAGTCTAAACTCAATGGTCATATTTCGGGTCAGTACCCACATTTGTTTAGTTATTTGTTTTTACTTTTATTTTTAAAAAATTTGTTTAGTTATTTGTTACTTTGCTCCAATTACTAGCTATACGCCTCTTCATCAACTATCCGGATTCTGATGTTGGACTAATTGAAGGGGTGCATCAACATACAAGTTTGCCTGCAGTATTGACATTATCTTCAGTTAAAGTGATTAGGTTTCTTTGAAGAATTTTTAACTTCCTCTCTTATTTCAATCCCAGTATTGCATTTCACTGAGGGGTTTTACATTTGAGTATGGCATAACAAGTGAATTAAAATATTGCACATTTAAAGACGAGGATATATTTCACAATAATTAGAAGAGTCCACTGTTTACGAACTCATAGAAATGACAAATGTCTGAGGAAGTGGAAACAATAGTCATCCTGATTTCATCATCATGTGACATCCATCTGTGGGATTTTTATATTTTATCTCATAAATATGTGCAAATTTTGCATCTTTTAAAAATAAAGACCAAAGTTTAAAGACAAAACCTGGACACATAGTATATGGTTACGTGTAACAAAATAGAACAGGCTCAAATTCTGCAGTATTTGTTTTGTTTGACTTCACATAAAAGTACTTTATTCAGGGCCGCACATTTGAGTCGTGAGCTGGTCTGGCTGTGTGGCACTAGCTCTTCCACAGCTCCTGCCTCCTCTCTCTGCATCAAGAAAGAACTTCATGTTAAGGCGCTGGGATGTTCTTTAGGTTGATGAAACTACTCCCTCTGAGGGTCCTACACAGAAGCTACTCAGCCATTGCTCATGCTGACACGTTCTCCTTAATTTAACAATCAAGAACATCATCCGTGCCCATAGTTATGAACTTTTCATTATGAATATATTTAATTAGCTTTGGAAGGAAGAGTTCCTGAGCTGACTTAATGGTTTTATCTGTTGTTAGTTTCTCCCTCTACTGAAATATTCAGACAGCAAAGCCAGGGCTACTGTGCACTGCAGTAGATGGAAACACAGAAGCAGTTTCTCTAGGGTGTCTCCTCTTACCTTCTGCTTTCCTCTAAGCTCTTGCCTGCATTTGTCCCTGGTAAGAGCTACTTAATTTTCTAAACAATTTTCCCCAAAAAGTTTTGGAGTAGAATGATTTTGTAGGTCTAACAATACAATAATATTTCAGTAGCTAAAAATTTAAAATTATAACCTTTGTTAATCTTTACCTTGTCTCTTTTCACTTTCTAAATTTATCCCATGTGAAAAAAAGAAAACATAAATTAATTCTTAACTTTGGTCTTTATTTCAAGACAGTTTTCTACTGGTCTTTAACTTGCAAACTGTGGCATGTATATGTGGCTGTGTGTGTGTGTGTGTGAGTGAGTGTGTGTGTGTGTATGCACCTGTGTATATTCCAAGTAGCGTTTAAGGCTAGTGCTCACTAGGCAAGCATATTACCAATAATCTCTCTTCCCAGCCCTCAGATTCGTCTTATTCCTGTTGAGACACGTGCTGTATTTAGGACCAACACTGAACCTCACCTGTCACTCGGTGTCACTAGAGGCATAGAAGCAGACCTTTGCCACTGGAAGATCAATCTTAGGGTTTGTACCCTGGGCAACGCCAAAATCAAGAAGAGGCTAAAAACTCTTCTATATCAACTTTCAGTAATTTTGTTAGCCTTTCTGAGAAACACAGAATCATACATTTCAGAAACACTTAAGAAGTGTCCATTCTATCTGCCACAATCTCCTCTCAAAACTTCTGCAAGTTCTAGGGCAGATAAAATTTTTCTATGTATTGTGGTGAACTATAACCCATAAGGACTACTCGTGCCTCTGTACAAATACTCAAGCAGTTTAGTTTACCACTAGGGACTTTGGATGTCACAGTTTAAGTTCTATCACGGCCCTGCCAGTTAGCTTTCTGTGGTTAGATATTGGAGTCACTTAGCAAAGAGAATGCATCATTTCTATCTTGAGCCTAATTGGAACTGAAAAAGTTTCAAAGATACTTAGACCTTACAATTAGACTTGCAGCGAGTAAAATACATAATGCAACCTACCTGTGCAAAGAGATCCCAGCTCCACCGCCAGGACTGCTGCACGAAGCAAGCTAAAGTGTTTTATGAGTATCAGGTGTCCTGGGTGATCTTCAGCTTGAACTATGTTTGCTTCATGTTCAAGTCCCCAGACAGGAGAAACCAATTCCCAAAGAAGGCCTTGTTTCCCAAGGGAGAGAAAGGAACCTGGTTCTCATTAGTCAACTTTCTACTCAGAATGTCTCAGAGTGAAATGCAGAGTGGCCAGGGAGTCACTTCGTGCTCACACTGAGCCTCAAATAGATGCGATGATGGCATCACTCTGTTACTCAGGCGCTGGAGAAAAAGCAAGCAAGCTGGAGAGGCGAAAACACCAGGCTGGGCAGAGGGGGTTTCTCCTTACGTACAGTGCTCAGGAAGGCCTGCAGAGTCATGGTCTAAAGTGAGAATTACAGGCAAAATGGGAGGAAAGGAGAACAAAGGGGAACATTATCAGTCTTGGGAATTTTCATTTAACATTTGGTCCAGACTTTTGCCAGTATTAGAACTTCTAAATTTACACACACACACACACACACACACACACACACACACACACCTTCTTGACATGGTGAATAACATCATGATTTTTCATTATAAAACCAAAGATCGAGTCCTTGATTAAATCCAACAGGATATATTAGTTTCTTTTACATATTGCTGGAATCAACTGCTAACATTGTGTTTAGAATTTTCTAATATATAATATGTTTATCTGCTTTTGATGTCAGGGAAATATTTCTCCAAGACATGGAAAATATACTATCTCTTTATTTTTCTTGGAGAATTCCTAAATATATGTTGGTCCTTTCCCCATAAGCCTTTTGTTGGGTTCACAAATCAAGCCACCTGATTCTGATTTTAGAATGGGAGTAGATAATTATTTTAACACAAATTTCCAGTTTGTGATACAATTCAATATTTCTCCTGCTAGTATTTTTTGTATTGATAGAAATGAAAAATACAGTAAACTAAGCTTATGATCCTATCTTCAGCTATGAGTTGCTTTTTTAAAGACCCTTCTTATTTTTTGTATTTCTTACTCGAATCTGCATTGAACTAGCTGAATTCATATTGTACAAAATATTAAACTCCATTGCCTCAAATATCTTAGCAGTAGTTTCATCAGATTACAATTCCTTGTTTTGGAAACTAATATTTAATGGATAAAAAATTAAGCTTTGTGAAAACACTTATAAATCTACTTAACAATGTAATGCAGATAAACTTTAAAAAAGAATGAAATGTTATATAAATATAAACCTCATCATCTTTGTGGTGTCATTATTTTAACAGTTGAGGGAGTATCAGTCATCTCAACGTTTGTAATATAATTTGAATAATGGGTTATGTTATTCATGCTATGATTTTATGAATTCAGGTATTACAAATTTTACTGTTATTGTAACATTTGTTTTTTCTGAAATGTATTTGGCAAACATAATATTTTTTTGTTTGTTTTTTATTTCAGTGAAAGCATTTTTATCACACACAAGAAAGTACAGTTTTATGCTATTATTTTATGTTTTACTAGGTATTTTATATGGTACTAGGATTTGAATCAGGCAAGGGAAAGAGTTACAAAAATAAGAGGAACAGATAAATTATTAATATCTTAAATGATAAAATTCTGAACCTAACACTGTGAGAAATAATTAAAAGCAGCAAATAATCAGCATGCAGAAGGTCATAGCCTTCAAATACACTAACAATAATAACCAGCTGGGGGATAAAAGACCAAATACCATATGTAACATGACAAAATCAACTATAGTGTTTGGAAAAAAATTAAAACGTCAAAAGCAAATGACAAAGTGAAAATTCTTTCTAAATTATGGTAAACAAAAGGCTAATTCTT